GACCCCCTCCTGTTTACAGAGCTTTATCAAACAACAGACCAAACTGTTTCGTTTTTTCTGAAGGAATATTTGATTCTGCAGATGGGACAAAATCTTGGCTAAACTCCCACCTTCTGAGTGTTCAGGAGTTTGCATTTCTTCAGGGAATTCAGGGGCAATAATGTTTCAGTATTTTCTGCACAACTTGCTGCTTTCTAATAAGGAGCTTAACCGCAAAATTCACAACAGATGTATAAATTAATAAATTTCCTGGTGTAGTCAGAATTAGTTTTCTCTTCATCAACTCTTCACATTCTGACATCATGAAACCAAGATGACAACAAACAACTGATAACAGAACCTTGACAAATATCCTGTACTTTTTCTGAGGTGTGTGTGTACTTGTTTTGGCTACAGAGTGAGAACAATGTTAGGTTTTTAACCAACAAAGTGAGCTCATTTTTGGTGCAGCTCTGCTGTACTTTACTAGTTAGGTTTAGAGGTAGGGTGTGAATTAAGTTCTGGTTCAGGTTAGGGTTAACTATAGACCAGTAATGGTTAATTTTACTAGTTAGGTTTAGAGGTATGGTGCGAGTTAAGTTCAGGTTAGGGTTAACTATAGACCAGTAATGGTTAGTTTTAGGGAAAATGTCTGGGTTAGGCATAAATACAGTTACAAAAATGAATGGAAGCCAATATAATGTCCTCAGTTTGACGCAAATACAAGGATGTGTGTGTGGCCTTGTTTTTCCTACATTGTGGGGACAATTTTCCCGAAAAAGCAGCCTTGTGGGGACCGAACCTGCATCGTGGTGACTAATGCCTGGTCCCCACGGGTCCAAATGCAAATTACGGGTGTGGGGTTGCATTTAGGACCAAGGTGTGAACTGAGTTTAGGTTAGTTTTAGGGTCAGGTAGGTCCCTATGAGGTTAATTTTAGGGTAAATTGTCAGGGTTAGGAAATAAAATTTCCAAAAAAGAAGTCAATGGAAAGGCCCCACAAGGATAGAGAAACATGGTGTGTGTGTGTATGCGGACATTAGTACTTTTTACACATCCCGTACATTAAAGACTCAACATTTTACGGTCTCAACTACCACCCAATATTCTGAGACATCAACAGAGGAAGGAAAGCCAAAACCCAGGAAATATGTTTTCTTTCTCTTGAACCATTTAAAAATCAAGCTGCAGTCTTTTGAACCAGTTGAAAACGAGCAACAGCAGTCTGACTGATTCCATAAAGAAGTTTGGATGTTCTAAACACGTACAGTTGTCTCAAAATTTCTTTTAAACAGTCTCAAATGATTGTTTTATAAAGAAGCACTGTCCTAATAAAATCTGTATTTTTCTCTTGAATTTTGAAGTGAACTCCATCTGGCAACCACCTGGCCTCACCTCACAAAGGGAACAGTTGTAGATAATGATGTCTACAGGTAAGAATCTATCTTAATAAATACACAAGTGGTTAAATTGGAAAGCCTGAATAATACACAGAAAACCAAATAAGTTCTCAGTTAAAATGTTTATTTTCAGATCTAAAGACTCACTTCACATCTAAAACAAAAGTCTAAACCAGAATGGTCCTGAATCACATGATCTCATAATACTTAATGAAACCCTGGTCACACAGTCTAGGGTCGTCCCTCCTACGTCAGCTTTGAGTCAGTCACAAACATTTATTAACTCCTGAACAGACCTGTTAAAGATGGCCACTACAAACGCAAGCATGGCTACAACTCATTTTTACAGGTATTAAGCTGGTGTGGTAGGAGCAGTGTAGACTCGAGTGTTAACTGTGTAGGGGTCACCTCGAGTGAAATAATCAGGAAAACTTTCTCTGATCGCAGGCCTCTGATCGGTCCTTTAAAGAGACAGAACTCTGTTCCGCTTGAGCCTGAATTTGAGTCACAACAGGTCACCTTAACTTTAAAAAGAGATTCTCTTATTCTTAATCAGATAATAAACAGAATAATCTTCTTTTTATTTGATTTATTGTTCTCTTAACTAAGAGTTATTACGCATTTTGATAATCAGAGAATATTTATCAAAGTTACAGGAGAAAAGGGAACAGGCTTTTCTCCCTCAATGTGATTTCAGCTATGCATGGATTTTCTGTAGAAATATTTAACTTAACAAATCATTATGGTTTAAGTTTTGATGAAACACGTGTTTTATTTGTCTGAATCATATTTCAAATGTTTTTGTGTTTGAAGTAATTAATTCTTTCAGTCATGTTTTTCTCATCATAGAATATCTAAACAGGTCAACATATGTTTTAATTATGCAACTGTACAGAAGTAGGGATGGGTACCGAATTCTATACTTTTTTATGTAAAGACCGAATTCTGTCGGTACTACCAAGAACCTATTCACGTAACATCAAACGGTACCATGTTTCGGTACCTAAACGCATCATTGCGACTGGTTTGGCTTAACAGTGGTGAGTTTTCCATGCTTGTCCTGAACGCAGCATCACGCAAAACCATAATGACATCATCAGCCGCTGGTTCAGTAAACAGTTTGGTGTGAACATAGCTTGAAAGCCTCGCAGCTCCTGGAGTAAAACTCACCGAACAGATCGCCTCTGAATTACCTGGTGGATTAATTATCTGGTGGATTAATTATCTTGTGAACACGACATGTGCTTGCTCAAAGTAAATAAAGTACCACCACTTTCTTTATTTCATCCGCCATTAAACAGAGACCGGCAGAGGAAAACAACAGAGGAGCTTCCTGACAGTCCGAACATGTCTGACCTGAAAGAGCACAAGCAACTAACATGAAGTGTTGGACACGTTTTGGATGCTCAAAACGTAGCTTGAATAACTTTTATTTATTTTAACTCCATCCTCTTTTGCTTATTTGATTTAAACTTAATTTCCTTCCATGGACCTCCATCACACAATTTTTCTTGCAGGGAAATGACATCAATAGAAACACATGGAGCTGGATTTTAATTTGTGCAATAAGACAAAACAGTCTGTTGTTTTCAACAGTTTTCACCTTAAAGAAATTAGTTTAAAAAACAGATGTTACAATACAAAGTGTTGGATGTTGTCTTGATATTTGTTAATTTTATATATTGAGAAATATGTTCAAAAAAAGTTTATTATTGAAAAAACAACACACACAAAGTACTGAAAATTGGTACCGTTAAGTACCGGTACCGATTCCCAGGTACCGGATATTGGTACCGAATCGATTCAAACGTCAAAAGTACTGTACCCATCCTTATTAATCTTGTGTAGCTTCAGATGGCGACAGCTAGTCTCTGAACTAATACTTTCTCTGATATCGTTTGACTAACTTATCGACTGAGGGCGGAACCAAAAACCTCTTTAATGACTAACACAGTTTCCGCCTGAGAGTAGAAGGAGACAGACGCCCTTCTGTCAAAACAAACAGCTGTTCTCCTCTGGGAAAAGCAGCGTTTGGCTGAATAATTCGTCCAAGCGCCAAAGGACAAATTTTCCCAGCATGGGCCACCACCACCCATGTGTTCCAAGACACAAGCTTAAAGCTCACAAAGCAACTTGGTCTTGACTTCCTGTGAGAAGCAAGTTTTATTCTGAAGATGGAGAACCAAGTGCTCCGCCTCTCTCCTGCGGCTGATGTGGACTGAGCCGGTGCTGAAAGAGTAAATCGTGCCTCGGAGAGTCCAAACGAGCAAGAGGCTGTAACAGTTCCTTGCCACTGTTCGACCTCCCTTACTACCTGAATCGTGAGTCGACGGTCATCGTCAAGGTAAAGCTGGCTGTTTGTGTTGCTGGTCTGACGGACATTGAGCGGGAGATGCCTGCTCTTCTGGTTCCCCACATTTAAGATAAAAGTTAGGAAGACTAATATCTTACTTTTCCTCCTTTTCTTAAACCCCTGCCTTGCCAGTCGAAGTTAAATGCCTAAATGTCGAGTATTTAAAACCTAAGCCGATGTTTGTTTCTATTTTAAGTGCTGGATTGACAATTAATTAAGCCCGAAGCGTGCTTGTTATTGTTAGTTCTTAAAATTTCTGATAGGAAATCAATTGCTCATAAATAAGTGTACTGTAGTGATTTTGTTTGATTGTGTAAATAAATGATTGCATTTATTAATGGATCAATCAAATTCACTTATTGGGTTTTGTCCATTCATTTTTGCACAAAAGAGATGCTTACCGAAAATAAGAGATCCTTGCTAAATAATTTCCTTATAACTTTGTTATAAGAGGTGTAGGAATCCTACAACTGCTCACACAAGATGTGTTTGTAAAACTTCACCATTAACTGATGGAGTCAAATCTGTCTGTTAGCAAAATATCTCCTAAGTCACTGAATGGATTTTAGTAAAACTTTTAGAAATTAATCACTGAATATAAAATTCCCAATTGATTCTTCTAGAGCCAACCACATTCAAGATGGCCGCAACTCTACGTCTTATTCTTTTAATCCAGTTATTTATCCAGATCTATGCTCTCTGTTGTTTTAGTGGTTTGGAGATTCTGACTTGTAAACTATACACTCAGTCAGAAAATATAGAAATCAACTTTTGACACTGTTAAAACACCACTTATTGGTATTCTTTAAAAAAATGATTAAATAAAATGATTTAATCTTGCTTTTGTCTTGGTTCTTCTCTCAGTCTTCAGAAAATACCTTCAAGGCCCTGACTGCTACGTCATTCAGCAAAAAAATAAATAAATAAATACAGTACTTGAAATGAGATTTTAGGCTCTTTGGGCCTCATGCAAGAACATGTTCATATTCTTATCCTAAATTTCTCTTACTTTCATTCATATGAAGGGTTCGTACAAACATGTCACGTCAGATTCAACAAACTCTTCTATCTTCAGGAAAAGTGTGTAAATGAGGAGTGTAAACTGATGAATGTGTATCCAGCTGCTCGTGCATGAGGAGAGGAGATTAGCATAATTACCACCCCAAAAACACCATATAAGGCTATGTTTCCTACCTCAGATATCAGGAAGTGTCCATTCATGAAAATGACAGCGAAAATTAAAAAGAAAAACTTTACGAGTTCAGAGATTGAAGTCCTGCTGTCAGAGATCCAGAAAAGAAAATCTGGCATTTTTAGCAGCTCAGCTGTGGAATAAAAAGAGCTGCTAAAAGTATAAACAACTGTGTTAAATCATTTTCATTTATTCAGAAGCCACAGTGTCACACACCGTACTCCCCACCCCCGCGCGGTCGCAGGTGGTCTCAGTTGCGGTTCTGAAATAAGCATTTTAAAATGTTTTCAAAATATGTCTGGCACTTTGGAGAAAATCCAGGAGTCGCTGGAGGGATTGTGTATCCCCTCTGGCCTGGGAACGTCTCGGAGTCCCCCAGGACGAGCTGGAAAGTGTCGCTGGGGAGAGGGATGTCTGCGTCTCTCTGCTGCTGCCCCCGTGACCCGATCCTGTATATGCGGCAGAAAACGGACGGATGGACAATTTATATTGTTAGTCTAAATTATTACATTTAAGATTATAACTAATTCATGCAGAATAGCCTATTGTCAACATAATTATGGAGTGTAATTTATTTTCAACTCAAAATATCTTCAAACTAACGAAATATAAAGTTATTAGTGAAGAAAACCCGTCTGGATAACAGCAGACTGACTGCTGGTAAAATATACAACAGGTCTGGACCACTCGTGAATTTTGTTCATATCTGAAAAAAATCTTAGAATACGAAAACATTGGTGAATGCCACAAATTCTCCTAAATCACTCGTACGCACAACTTAAGAACAAATCTGTGCGTATGAACGTTTTTTGCATGAGGCCCTTTGTTTCCAGAATTGCGCCACAGTTTTGTTACTTTAGTGGATTTAGATGTGAACTGATCATATTTTGTCCTCCACTGCTTCTCTTTATCATCCAACAGTGACCTTGACCCCCTCCAAGCTCCTCATTGGTCCGTTCGGGTCAGAGCAGCTGAAAACCCTCAGTGTTTACTCGGTACCTTTTTTATTGACATCATATTCTATTAGTTGTTTATTTATAATTGTAGTTCTATGCTGTATATCTGTCAGCATGGTGTTTAATGCTCTGAACGTTTTAAAATAAAGGTTTAAATTTTCAAGCAGTTTTTATTGGTTTTTGGACTCATTTGGATGTTGTGGGTGCAGGTGACTTTGTGACGGAGTTCTTTAAGCTCTGCTGCAGGAAGGAGTCTGTGGAGGAGGTTTTAGGACGAGGATGTGCTGAAGAAGGTGGCCAAGGTAAGTTTATTTAGCCTATTATTTATAAGACAATTTTATATCATAAGGATTTTACTGTGTAGTGTTAAAATAAAGAATAAAGAAATATTGACACCACTTTCTAATAATTTACCTTTATAAATTATTTATTACTGCTTTATAAATTGGTTATACATGAGTTTTTAAACACTATAAATCATTACTAAGAATTCAGGTAACAGTTAATAAAAGTGCAAACCCTGAAGCAGCCTCACTATTTGGCAAAATCAGTGCTTTACTTTTTTCTGTTCTTAATAATATATTTTTTGCTTTATTTAAAAAAGATTCTTATAATAAAGATGTTCTTTAAAAATTCTAAACAATAGTTAATAATGCAGTTATTGTTTAGGCTTTAAAACTTTAATAAAACATTAATAAGCAGTAACAGTGCATCAGACAAAAAGGACATTACTGATGTGTTTCCTGCCAAATAGTGAGCCGACACATCAGTACTGTTTACCTGTAGTCTCCGTCAATTGGATTTTAAATATCAAACTTTTGTCAGTAAGTTGCCTGCATGTAAACACTATGATCTACATGTAAAGTTTGTTTTCACAAATAAAGCTTAAAAAATCAAATGTGCAAAAGAAAAGTAAACAAAAATCACTTCTGAATGACTAAAGCCCTTATTTTTGTCTATTAGTGAAGTTTATTATATGAAGTTTATAGCTGTTTTATAAATGCTTTATAAAGAGTTTTCAAACAGGAATTACCTGTTTATAAAACATTAGTAAATCATTCGTAATGATACTGTTAAAGTGGCACCAAAGCCCTTTTTCTCCATCAGGTTTGCAGACTGTTTGTTGCATATTGTTGTGGTTTTCCTGCAGAAAACAGTGACATCAGCTCTGCTTTATCCAAACTGACGGAGCCAGCAGCCGCCGTGCCTCTAACCAAACTGTCCGTCTCCAGTATGGTGCACAGCGCCAGGAAACACATCCACCGTCGCAGACACGTCGATGAGTCACCGCTTAACATCGATATCCTCAATTCAATCCTCTTGGTACGTTTTATACAGACACACTGTTTTTGTTTTTTATTTCAGTGTCATGTTGAAGAGTTTAAATGAATACTTTACTGCTGGTGACATCACATCTGGTTAGACTTCCTCCACACTCGATGATGACACAACATAAAAAGATGTATGGGTGGTCTTTTCATGTTCATGGTGAGGTCAGAAGAATAATAAGAACGCAGCGAGTTCCCTCCTGATCTCCAGCTCTCACTGGAGCAGTTGAAGATCTCAGGTCCAGCTGGTGGAGCAGGGGAGAGTATCTGACATGTAGCCATAAAGAGTTCAAAGCAGGACGGTTCTCCCTGGCCTCATGTCAAGGTTATGATTTTACCACACCCTCTTCTTTATGGGTGTGCTCCAATAAGTTATTAAAATGTAGGGAAGCACCGATACCATCCATCCATCCATTTTCTGTACACGCTTCTTCCTTTTCAGGGTTGCGTGGGTCACTGGTGCCCATATCCAGCAGTCACAGTGCGAGGGGCGGGGTACACCCTGGACAGGTCGCAAGTCCATCCCAGGGCACCGATACCAGTTTTTCTCAAACTGAGTATAAGTACTTCGCCGATAGGGGTACTTTCTGAGTTATAACATTACACAGTGATTATAAAAACACAATTTTAACATTAGAATCTGGCACAAAATCAGAAATCTGATGTTATCAAAATGAACCTCAGTTTAAACCAGTGGTTTATAATCCTGCACCTCAAGGACCACCATTCTGCATGTTTTAGTTGTTTCCCTGCTCATCAGCAAGTTTTTAAGCTCTGCAGAGTTCAGCCAATCACTCATTCATTTAAATCAGGTGTGCCAAAGCAGAAAACATCCAGAACATGCAGGATAGTGGTCCTCGAGGGCCAGGATTGAGAACCACTTGTGCAAACGGTCATACCGTACTTCTCATATGTTTACGTCTGTGAGCCGGGGGTTTACTGATCGATCCAAGTAATAATGATACTAACCTTGAGTCAGGCAGTTTAAATCTTGTAGCACCACACGTCTTCAGCTACAGAGCAGTCATCCATCTCCTGGATGACTGAGTATTCACAGAAACATCTGATAGTAATGGTGTCAGACCATGTGGATGCTGAAGTGGATGGATATTTAAGTTACCTTTACGTGGAGCGCGTCACGTCGCTCTCAGGTGACCAGAGGCAGGTTAAAATGTAAACTGTGAACTAAACAAGCGTGTAAACTAATTTTTAACCAGTTTTGTTTGATGTAGGGATGTGTACCTACAACTTCTCAAAACTTAACTTATGAGGAAAGTCACGAGTCCTTTTCTGTGTAAGGAGTAAAAACCTTTCTGTGTAAATGTGAGAATAACCACAATAATGTAACGCACTCAGCAATTTAAGTTTTTCCTAAAAAGCCCTGTTCTACTCAGCATCTTTCATTCAACCTGTTGGAGACTAAGCCAATTTTAAAATATGTTCAGGTGTTCACAATGTAGGGGGCAGAATTTGCTTCAGAAGGAAACAAAGTAAAACTTGATGCCAAAGCATGGACTGGTCCACCTGCCCTAGCACTAGTTTGACTAAGGCTGCGCTTTTTTGCGCAGGAGACCTTGGCCTCTACATCCCCCGCTCCCCTGCTGTGAGCCACATAGTGTCTGTTAATATGCTAAAGGGTCAGTCACAACTAGAGCCACACCTTGAGCCACACCTAACCCTAATCACAGCTCACCTACATATCCCCCCTTAGGCCCAAAACTGTGCTCCTACATTCCCCCCTTTGGTTTTTGTAAATTTTCTAAACTGTCCCACAAAATAACTTTTGTGCTCCTAGTCAATTCTGACTGATTTGAAATATTCATTGAAAACAAAAAGAAAAAAAAAACCCTACTAAACACACAACACTTGAATCAGATACTATATTTACTATTTTTTACTGTAGCTTTGAAAATACAGTGGCATCCAGTTATGTTCTTTGCAACACACCGTATCTTCGGAGCTCGTCACTCGGCTTTAGTCTACGCTGTAATATACACTCTAACAAGTTTTTACTTTTGCATAAAACTCATGACAAAGTCGCATAAAAACATTTCATATAACACAAACGCGCGCGCGCACACCTACTTTTGTACCGGCTGCTGTGTTTAGCTTCCTGCTAGCTGTCGTCTGGAGGAGGTCTTTCCTCTCCCGGTCTTGGCAGTAAAAGGGGATAAATGTACATTTCCCTTTTGTAACCTCCGTCTTCTCATTTCTGATGCTGACTCTTGAATATCCTCAGGTTAGAAATGCCGATTACAAAAGTGAGTGTGAGCTTTTAAAGATAAGTTTTCCTTGTAATGCTATGATCCTCTGCTGTCACCTCCTCAAGAGGAAAAAGGATAAAAACTAACTACTGGATCGTATCTGCTGGTTAGTGGACACAACGGCACACAACAGAACTCACGTTTTATACCAGTAGGTCACAGATGCTTTAACTTTTGTGACTTTTTCACAGACTAGTACTAGCAGCTAACGCTAAAAACATAGGCAGTAAGCAGGGAGTGGAAGGGAGGAGTGTGGCAAGAGTTTTACCGGAAATACGTCATTAATGACCGTGGCATATAGGCTATTAAGGGGACTCAAGCAACAAAGGTCACTTTACCTGACCTTCAGCTTTGACCTTTGACCCTAATAATGTTTTCAGACCTCTGTTGGGCCAAGAACAATTGTCATGTTAATTCTGATTGAAATCAATAGCTGTTCAGGAGCTACACACAACAGTGTGATGGACACCCAGAAACATACAGATGGACAACCAATATAAATATAAAACCTTTAGTTTTATATTTATTTGTGTTTATTCATGTGTATAACCACACATATAAGGCAGATGTGTTTGTAACAATACATGATCAAAAAGTGAAAGCCAAAAAAAAAAAACAAGTGAATTCTCTGTTAAAAAGCTTTTTTCCTCAGATCTAAAACTATCTCGACTCAGAGCCACTTTCTCCAGCACCTGTGTAACCCTGAGTCTTATCAGCAAACATAAACAATGACCCTCTAACAGCCCTGCATCTTCTTACACTAAAGACTTCACTTCCGTGCTTCACAAAACCCACAAACCCTGGTCCCAGCCCAGGGGCAGTACCTTTTACATCAGACCTTGAAATGAACACAATTCTAGTTTTTACTGCAAAGCAGAAACATACTGGTTCTCTTCATGTTTAAAGTGAATGACTACAATTAATCACAAAACTGTATCCAAAATTCAGTTAATGGGTCACATTTGCTTCATGTTTAACAAACCAACTCACATCCCACTCTTCATCAATGGCAGTGCTGTGGAGTCTGTGAAAAGCACAAAGTTCCTTGGAGTGCACATCACAGATGACCTCACATGGACTACAAACACCACCTGTCTGGTCAAAAAGGCTCAGACATGACTCCACTTTCTGCGGAGGCTGAGAAGAGCCAACCTCCCCACATCTGCTCTCACCTCCTTCTACAGGGGAGCCATTGAGAGCATCCTGACCAGCAGGCTGTCTGTCTGGCACAGCAGCTGTCGAGCTGTAGACAAAGAAGGCTCTCCAGAGGGTGGTGAGGACCGCAGAAAAGATCATCAGATCACCTCTACCAGCCATTCAGGACCTCTACACTTCACACTGTTCTAAGAGAGTGATGTACATAATGAAAGACCCTACCCAGCTCACAAACTGTTCTCTCTACTACCATCAGGGAAGGTGTCACACAAGCAGACTGGGAAACAGCTTCTTTCCACAAGCCATTAGACTCATCAACATATTGAAGAAAACTAAATGAACATTTCAAGGATAATGAAGAACGGTTTATAAACATTTCTTTCACCGCACCACTTGCACATTACTCTTTGCACCTTGCATATGACATCTACATTACCTCACATTATCTGTATGTCCACTGATTGTGCTTCTGGTGCGTGTGTGTGTGTGTGTGTGTGTGTGTGTGTGTGTGTGTGTGTGTGTGTGTGTGTGTGTGTGTGTGTGTGTGTGTG